CATAGTAATGCTTTCGATCCCATATTTGAAAAATATATTCCAAGTTTGAAAATGGAATTCTGATGCTAAGTAATGATTTAAATTAGTATCTTTATCAATGTCACAGAGCTTTCTATTAAACAAAATTAAGCCCAACTAGAAACGAATGAAATCCACCCTTCTGTTGTCACAACCTCAAACAGGATAAAGATTTCAGTTCACAAGGCTAGTCATTACTGGCTAAAATGAACTTTGATCCCCAACTCACAAACACCTCAAGAATGCCAGATAAAAACCTAGAACTAAACATGAACCAGCAAGTGCTTAAAACCAATAAGCACTACAGAAGATAATATAGGAGAGTATTTTCATGACTTTGGGACACAAAAGCCACAGAGAACACTCAAAGCTCCTTTTCTGGGAATGTTCAGAAATTATTTTACTATCGTAACCAAAATGGAAAAAGAGGTGGGATGTGGAAACAAAAAACTTAATAGGATATCAGAATCTGAGAAAAGTGATTATGTTCAATTAATATAGGTTTTAGATATGAATAACAAAAACCAAGGAATCTAGTTATATATGTTAATGAACATTATAGTGAATAAATCATTTTTAAATACAAAGACACTTTAAAGAATAACCAACATAAGATACAAATCTGCATTAAATATTTGACTTTCTACTCCAAAAGTAATTCTATTTTAATAATTATTAATCTTTTGAAGGTAAAAATATGATGTGAACTTGTGATGGTACATATGAGTATAGTATCAACATAAGGAAACACAAAGTATAAAATATATAACAAATTCAGAAGATAATATTCAAATAAGTAACTCAGTAATTTTCATAACTATCATTTCTTAGAAGAAGCTTTTAAAAGTCACTGATAGCAAGTATAATAATGAATATGTCAGAGATTTAAAGGAATAAATACATTTAAGAGAATAAATTTTTGCTTACGATTAAGCTGCATGTTCGTCATGATCGTTAGACTATGAAGCACAAGGCACCATGTCCGGAGCAAGGTATTGGGATACCAAGCTAACACTGTGAGAAAGCTAGTTATTGACGCTATGCAAAATAAAAAAGAAGGGAAATTTTTAATGCAGGAAAAGCAAATGTTTACTAAGAATTAAAAACAAGAAGAATGAATTCAAAAATATTTCTTTAAATCAGCTCACTATCTAGTGCTCCTAAAACATAAAAATGAAAGATTTCCCCATTAAATAGAACAAAGGCATTAAGAATCAATAAAATTTTATAGCTAAGTCTAAAGCTTATCCCCTGACACACAAACTAATGTGCCATCATTACAAATTTGTTGCTCTTTCCAAACTACAGGCATTTCTACTGAAACAGAATTTGTATTTTACTAAAAATCCTCACAGTCTACAAAACTCAAAACTGAAAATAATAAGGCTTACTGGGAAAACAGGGATAGGGTGGGCCAATCAAAACCAATGCAACTGCACAACAAAGCACAAAATGAAACACTGATCAGGCTGCTTGCAAGGCCCAGATAAGAAGCACCTGTGCCAGCTGGAGAAGCCAAAATAGTATTCAAAATGCACAAACATAATAGAGTACACAGATTGTGCTCTTACAACACCCTGTAAAAATGACTCATTCCAGATCTCAGGCAGGAAACACAGAGTCTGGGGCATCTATCATACTGCAAGCTAAGAGAAACAGTCATGAATTTTTTGAACCTCCCCCGCAAAGAGAAAACTAAAAAGGAGTATCTTACTGGCTACAAATGACACATTATCAGCATCAATAAGAATTACAAAATTGTAAAAGCAGCATAAAAAAATTATTAAATCTATTAAGTGTATACAGATATTTATTAAAGAAACATACAAGTTATAAACACTACATATGAACCAGTTCACATTATTTTTTTATAAATATTTATAAAATTTTTATAAAATATACTATAAATATAGTATTTATATTAGTTTTATTCAGAAAAACTAATTCTAAAAAAGAAAAAGTTTCCAGCATTTTTCATGCCTTTATTATACAAACTATATCATCAGGAGGGACGTAATAGCATATAGAATGAAGTTCCCCTTTGTGGGAGTATTTCAGCTAATAAAGAAGGAATGACAGAATTAGATACCTTCATTTTGAAACATCTTGCACATTGTTAATGACTATAGGCATTAAGAATCAATGCCTGTTATCATAAAAAGAGACAACCTATGAAATGCTTTAAAAATTTCAAATCAGGTCAAATTTCAATCTACTCCAATTTACAGGAAATACAGTAAAAATCATGGAGACACAATCATTATGAAACCTGGGAATCCAGGCAAACATAGAGCAAAACTTGTTGACAAATGACTGTGCAAGGGGATAACAAAGACATGAGGGGGCCCTGGCCAGTGTGGCTCAGTGCACTGAGCGTCAGCCTGTGAACCAAAGAGTCCTCGGTTCGATTCCCAGTCAGGGCACATGTCTGGATGGCAGGCCAGATCCCCAATAGGGGGGCTGTGAGAGGCAACCACACATTGATGTTTCTCTCCTTCTCCTTCTCCCTCCCCTCCCCTCTCTCTAAAAATAAATAAATAAAATCTTTAAAAAAAAAAAGACATGAAGGGAACTTACTGAGCTTAAAAGGGATTTAAGAAACATAATTAACTATAATGTGTAGACCTTATATGGATTCTATTTCAAGTAAACCAAAAAAAATTTTATAAAAGTTGAAACTATTTTTGAATACTGACAAATATCTGATAATTAATGAATCACTGCTTTTCTATCTACTCTTGTTTAAAATTTTTTGTAATAACCAAGTTTTAAAAAGCAATGGAGCAAAATTTATAATAATAATTATTAATGCAAGGGAAAGATGGAAACAGATAAGCCAGGCTGGTCTTGCTGAAATAACACAGACATGAGTAGGACCATGATACAGTGTGGCTCTCACTAAGGTCGGAAGACAGGTCATGTGACTGCCATGCAAGGTACAGGATGCCCCTCCATAGGGAGAAAGCACCAGGAATACATCATTTCCACTTTTCTAAAAATATAACTAAAACAAATCTTTATAGAAAGAACAGAAGGCTATTTCTATTTCTGTTGAGAATATTATTCTAGTTTCCACATTCTTGCATTTGCCAAGAAAAAAAAAAAAACAAACTCAATTTCTATGGGAAATTCATTTCCTTCCCCAATTTACCAATTCCCCTAGGAGCAAACTCACATTTTTAAAAAAACACCAGTTGCCAAAAAATAGCCTATGAACAAGACAATACTTTAAGGGAGTCCAATCTAAAGATTAATGGAATGTTGCCAATTTTAGTTGCACACAGGCATAAGATAATACAGAGCAGAGTATAAGGATTGTCTGATCTCTTTTCTGCTAATTATTAAGTCAAGGTATAAAAACATTTTCTTTCACTAAAATATTATAACTCTTATGACAAAGTTTAAGTATACATTAACATAATCATTACCTTTCTAGTGTATTGTTCATGCTATATTAATAATTTTCCTTCTAATTAACCTTACCTTGATTTAATGAAATGACAGGTATTCGATTAGCATTATATAAAAAAATGTCAGCTCCATTCTCTTTGTTTCCAGATGAACTTGAATTCAGGCTCAATGTGAGCCACAATTGGAGAAGTGATTCCAACTGAAAAAGAATGAAAATTGACAGAAAAAATTGTACCCATTATATTATGAAATACTATTCAAACAAAATCTTATGTATGAATCCTTATGAGTAAGTCTAATTTCTCTATTCAATATTTGCCTGGTTACTTCAACTCAGTTGAGAAGCAAACACATCTTAAAATTCCTGATGAAACAAAATTTAACTGAACTAAAATGTATAATTTACCTAACAGAAATGTTCTTTCTGACTTTAAAGAGGTGATTGAAGTGTTTATATACAACTGTATTTAAACTATAATATATACAGTTGACCCTTGAACATGGGTTTGAACTGCAATCTACTTATATGCATTATTTTTTCAATAAATATGTACAGATATTTTCTCTAAAGATTTTCTTAACCCTTTTACTTTAGCTTACTTTATTGTAAGAATACAGTACAGAATACATACAATATACAAAATATATGTTCATCAACTTTATGTTATCAATAAGGCTTCCAGTCAACACCAGGCAATCAGTAGTTAAATACTTAGGGACTCAAAAGTTGTATGTGAATTTTCAGTTGTGCAGAGGGTCAGCACCCCTAGCCCCTGCATTGTTCAAGAGTCAACTGTAGCTGCATCTAATCAGTAAAGATTAGAATCATAAAAATTATATATGACCTATCGCTGAGGAGCTGTGGTTATCAAAGCATCTCCAATATTGTTCCATCTGAGCATGAAACAGAAATCATCCCTATCAGGTTGAGAACGATCGCCCCAGTCACTTACGTCTTTTATTAGGCTGGTAATAATGTCTAAAAATGCACCATTTCTCCTGAAGTCATACCTGAACATGATGGACTTGAAGCATGGAAAAAAGTTTGTTGAAACAAACATTTAACATTGGGACAGATGATAACTGTATAATAAGTTGGTTGGATTGGTTCGCTGCTTGTAAACCCCCTAGAAGTGAATCATCTGTTCCAGTGGGAGACTGTGATACTGAAAATTAAACACAATTATGATTTTATACACAAAGCATCAGGAGAAATGCTAACTAGCTATTACTATGTAAGGTAAGTGAAGATGGTTTTTAAAAAAAAAATTAAAATTGCATTCTTTTAAATGATTCATCATTATTATTTGAAAACTTGGTTTTACGACATTACTTGAAAGTCAAAAAGACAATCAACAGAGAAGCTTGCAAATTCACAGGACTTGTCCACCAAAGGAAAAGGAACCTTACTCTCTAGCAGTTTTTATTTTCAACTGTTCCCTAACAAGAGGAAAAGAAAAGGGAGAAAAAGAAGAATCTTAACTCATCTTAGGACAGTAGTTTTAAAATAATCTAGACTCCAATCAGTTGATTCTTTTTCTTTCTTTCTGTCTTCTACCACCCCCAATCCTGAGTGTCTAGAAGTGCCTGTGGCGTGAGCCCTCCAAAGCTGCGCTCACTCCTCCAGGTGAGGCTTCTGTGGTGCTCTGGTCCACATGTGAAACCTGGCTGGCCACAGGCTGACCAGCAGGGATTAGGACGGACCATGTAGTCTGTTGATTCTTAACCCTGACTGCACATTAAATTACCTGAGAAGCATCCAAAACTCCTGATGCCCGGGCCACACACCAAGCAAAATAAATAAATGCAATTCATGGGGAGCAGAGAAACACAGGGACTCTAAGAGCAGTTCTACATTTATTTAGAAAGTTATTATATTAAAAGGGGTGACACAGTTCTGCACATGGCAATAATCAAAAGATAGACTATAATGAGAAACAGATACTAAGTGGCTTCTTTGTTTCTTTATTCTTTTTCTTTATAAATAACTAGCAAAAAATAAAAGAACTATTTTAGGCACTACTGAGCTGTCTGGGATCATGGTGGAAAGGCTAACCCAATAAAAGTGATTTATTTCCCTTGCAACATAGGAGATAGCATACAATAACATTAGTGTGTCAATACTAAGATTATAGAACACTAGACCATCTTCTATTTTTCTCCTTTTTTCCTCTATTTCTTAAGGCAAGAAGTAAATGAAGTTTGCAATGAAAGAATTTGACTTAACATAGGAAGATCTAAAAAACCCAAATTTCTCTATTAAAATGGACTGTGGACTTCCCTTCACAGAAGGACACATTGCTCTTCCTAGGTTCTAATTACTGTCTCTTCCCCATTAATCACCATGCCCTGGTGAAGAAAAAGTGATTTGTAGTCCTGCGGCGGGGGGAGTGTGCAGGGAATGGGGAACATTATCATCTTCTCAGCAAAGCTCTTTAATCTTTGTCTTTAAGAGACAGGCTTCTATCTAAACTGTACTCACCTGACAGGAACAGATCTACCCAAGTCTAGTGCTGTACATGAAGGGTCAGCAAACCATGGCCTGATGGCCAAATCTGGCAGGCCCCCTGAGTCTATAAAACAGTTTCTGTAACAGCCATGCCCACTCACTTACATATTGTCTATGGCTGCTTTACTGCTACAAAGTCAGAGCTATGCAGTTGCTGACACCCACCACATAGCCTGGAAACTAAAATATGGTCCTTTATTATGAAAACTTTGCCTTTCTTTGCTGAAGATAATTAAGTAGTAAATCCTTTCAATTCTGCCATTCAATTAGGCTCATTTGGCTATCATCCTTACCTAGGTCTTCCAACCTAGTCTTTAAGGATAATAAAGGCTAATAAAAAACCCACTTTATCAGAAATTTGGTATAATGCAATGAACTCATAGGCAGCCAGTTAACAGCCTTCTCTAGGAATTTCATTAACCTCACAACACCACAGTTAACAAAAACAGGACTCAGGTTTTTGCACTGAATTTAAGAATACTACATGGAGGTATGCTGTTCCCTTCCCCTCTCCCAACCTATTAATCCTTTGCCTTATTTCTCAACTTGCTACTCATTTAACAAGAGAGGGGGGCTATATATTTTGCCCATTCAGACTCATACCAGACATGGAATTTTAAAATCTTCAATAGTCTAAGAATGGTGATTTTTACTTACATGTAGGAGATGTATTTGTTAATGCCTGTAAAATGGAATCTGCTTCCAAGGTGGACATCATTTTCAACATAAGTTCTGCTTGCTGTTCAAGTCCAACTTCTAGGCGAGCATCTAGGGCTAAGAAAAGCAATTTAAAGGTTAAAAAATGCTGTTTGGTAGTTTTTACTCATGTCCTCCATCCTATAATAAAATGTTGACACCTACACCCAAAACTGGGTGAGAAATGAGTCCTCATATAAGAACAACCGGGCATGGGGTTAACAGAACCACAGCATGAAACAGTACCTGTGCAAAGGAGGCAAGGGGATGACAAGGTGAATATATAGAAAGAGGCAGATCAAGTAAGTGAAGTAATAATAATGGAAACAAATAAATTAAGGATAATGAGAACCAGGGTCCTCACTGTCAGAGAAAAAAAGACACAACTATACAAATGGAAAAAACGAAAATGAAGCTTATGAAGTTAGATTAGTTACATTAACTGATGTATTGATGTGAACTCATGGCATTCTAGATAAACAGATACAGAAATGAACATAGATGGAAATGTGTACAGATACCCAGACACACACATACTCTCCTACATTTGTCCACCAAGAGGGCATAGACATCAAAATAGCAGTAAGTATACTTCTAACCAAATGTTGGTTTCCTAACTACATTTCTCCACTAAAAGGTTTTAAAATACTCTTCTCCTTATTGAAATGGCTAATTCCCAGGCTGGAGAAGGGAAAGTAAACGACCAGCAGCCTGAGGCATCTCATTGTGCCAGAAAACAAGGGAGTACTCAAAGAAAGATGAGGACATGTCAAAAAGAAAAGAGCCTAGCATGAAAAAGAGCCCAGTGGTCAAATCTGGGACTACCTGAATACCAAAATAAATAATGACAACAATGTACACTTAAAAAGGTAAATCTTGTTATTTATATTTTATCTCAATAAAACTATAAAATAAGTAATGATAATAGTATATTATAATCCAATGCCTAAAACTGCAAACCATGGGTCTATTCAAATTAAATAAACAAACGTTTTTATTTTTTTTAAAGAATAGTTTCCCTCCACTACCACACTCCCCAAAAATTCTTTTACTAGGGAAAAAGAATAACTTTATAATTGGGAAGACTAACAAACACCTCCTTATCCAAATAAGTAAACACAAAACCACAATAGGGGGACAAATTAAAATCAAGAGCCACCTAAAAGGTGTGCAATAAGAAAACCTGAACATTACTTCTTTTGTTGTTATTTCTATCAAAGAAGCACGACCACAATCTAGTCATGAGAAAACAGCCCACAAACCCAAATTGGGGATATACTGCAAATCATTACTGGCCTGTAATCTTCAAAAGCATCATGACACAAAAGTTATCTCTGAGGAACTTGGCACATGGAATCAAAGTGAAGAGATGTGACAACCAAATGTAAAGCACGATTCTGCACTGGACCATTTTGCATGAAAGAGATTATTTAGACACAACTGCTGAAACTTGATTGGGGTCTGAACATTAGTACTAATGTTAATTTCCTGATTTTGACGAAATATACTTTCTGATGTGTTTATGTAGAAGAGTGTCCTGCTTTGTAAAATTCATGAAATAAAACAAAATAAAAATAACATCAGATTAGCAACTTACTCCTAATGGATCAATATAACAAAGGTTCTCTCTATTATGCTTGCAACTTGCTGGTAAATGTATGATTGTTTCAAAATGTAAGAAAATATTTTACTTAAAAAAAAGATATATTCTACATGACTAGAAGAATGCAAAAAGAATATTCAATAAGGTTCCATTCTGATTGCAAATTTAAAAGGTTTATTATTAACAGTAAGAAAATAAAAGCACAATTACTGAAAATCACGAGCAAAGCCACACAATTTACAAATATACTTCACCAAGTGTTATTTTGAGAAAAAAAATTTGGACCCTAAATGGAAGACCCTTCGCACTGGCTGACAGGGAAGCACGCAGCTCTGAATGTCACTCCCATGGCACGCCTGTGACAGTAAACCCTGCTAGCACACAGAGGCTCAATTTCTCAAGGGACAAAGCGTGCATTTAGGACTTGTTCCAAGACTAGAATATGTATTAACATATAAATGCATACTTACCCTGAGACACTGAAACACTAACTGTCTGTGATCCATTCTTCTCTGTATTTGCGGGTGGCTTTGCTACAGGAATTCCAAGACCTCCAATGTAAGGATTGTAATTGTAGGTGCCATAATCAGCACCCCAATAATCATACCATGTACTGCTTATTGGCTTAAAAAAATAGAAAACAACTGTGGTTTATTTTTGCCTCTTCAGAAAGAATGACATTATTATTTACATTATCTAAATTCAAACAGGGTTATAAAATAAACATTCTCTTCATCCTTTAAGTTCCCCAAGACATACTTACAATCCTAATGATTTAGAGGAATGGTTCAGTAATGTTTTATTTTTTTTATACCAAAATATAAAAATAGCTTACTTAAAACATAAAAGATATGTACCACCCTTAATAAAATCTCTTACACACAAAAAGAATCAATGTAAAGTATTAGAGATGTATCTCCTTTGAAAAAGTTGAGGTTAACACAGAAGTAGAATCTGCAATGAAGTCAGCCTGGATGAGATTAAATGCTGCTTGAAATATTTATAATCCATATATATATTCCCCATGCTTATCAGTGGTTCTTGTGTGTGGTAATGTAAGTGGGTATATTAACAAAATGGTGTAAGTTTCCCTTATATACGATTCATTTGGTACATACTAATAGTACCTATAGTAATTTAATGTACATTAAGTAGTGGATTACATTTGGTGATAAATATGTACACTTTGTTTTTTTTAAGTAATGAATAAACCAAAACTGTAAGATGAAAGGCTTATCTGCAAAGAATACTCTAGTGTATCATACCTTAAAAACTTTGGCTGCAAGAGGATCCTTTTCCAGATCAATATCCAAAGGATCAATGTCAACTTCCATTAGATCCTGAAGTAGATCAAGATCAATTTCTTTATCTTTTTCCAGAGAAGAAAGAGGAGGTGCACCTTTAGATAGTTGAAAGTGATTTTATTAGTTTAGTATACAACATAAATTTAACCAATACATTGCTTTTAATTACATAAGTTATTTTTACTTGTGTGTAACATGTTTTACTGATCTAAACATTTCTAAACTGTTATTCTTGACTACTGGGCAACAGTAGGTACATAAATGTATCACTCTGTAATACACAATTAAAATCACCAACATAATACTTGATTTCCTAAGGAAAAAAGACCACAGATTAACCCTTGTTGAATCAAGTTGCATAAACTTTAAGTATTACTAATCTTATTACCTCCAATATGTAATTTATTATGTTAACATCTAATTTTTCAATAACTGAGACCCAGCATTAAAGTGAAAAAGGAAACTTGTAAGACTGCTCTTCACCTTATTTTTCTATTTTAAATCAGAAATTACTTTGCTCTCTAACGTCTCTAAATTCTTAATTAGCCTTCTATGCCTTACAACTATTATCTCCTCATCCTTCCCACCTTCTTA